ATAGTCTCGATCTCCCGACCTCGTGATCCGCCCGTCTCGGCCTCCCAAAGTGCTGGGATTACAGGCTTGAGCCACCGCGCCCGGCCTCTTTTTTTTTTTTGAGATGGACTCTCGCTCTGTCACCTAGTCTGGAGTGCAGTGGTGAAATCTTGGCTTATTGTAACCTCTGCCTCCTGAGTTCAAGCAATTCTCCTGCCTCAGCCTCCTGAGTAGCTGGGAGTATAGGCGCCTGCCATCACACCTAATATTTATTTTGGTATTTTTAGTAGAGATGGGGGTTGCACCATGTTGGCCAGGCTGGTCTTGAACTACTGACCTCAAGTAATCCACCTGCCTCGGCCTCCCAGAGTGCTGGGATTAAAGGCATGAGCCACCACGCCCGGCCTCTACTTTCTTTTAGTACATACTACAACTCACATTAAACTCAAATAACTTTTTTTTTTTTTTTTTTTTGAGATGGAGTCTCGCTTTGTTGCCAGGCTGGAGTGCGGTGGACCTACCTTGGCTCATTGCAACCCCCTCCTTCTGGATTCAAGCACTTCTCCTGCCTCATCCTCTTGAGTAGCGGGGATTACAGGTGCCTGCCACCATGCCTGGCTAATTTTTGTATTTTCAGTAGAGATGAGGTTTCACCACGTTGGCCAGGCTGGTCTCGAACTCCTGACCTTAAATGAACTGCCCGCCTTGGCCTCTCAAAGGGCTGGGATTACAAGCATGAGCCACCACACCCGGCCTAAGAACTCTTTTTTATATTTTTAAGTTTTTTAGAGATGAGCTCTCACTATGTTGCCCAGGCTGGTCTTGAACTCCTGGGCTCAGGTGATCTGACTGCCTCGACCTCCCAAAGTGCTGGGATTACAGGTGTGAGCCACTGCACCAGGCCAAGAACTTTCTTAAAGAAGCCTGACAAACTTCTGCTTCACCAAGGGTTAAGAGTGGTTTTCACATGCCCCTCAGTGTCAGTCAACGGGATCAACTAACCACACTGGGCCTTGTCCCCAGAGCACTTTGTTCCAGCTCGCTTCAAGGGTCTAATGCTGCTAATTTGCTTCCAACACAAAAGGTAAACAGGAGCCTAGGCACACTCAAGTGCTTACCAACTCCCAAATGCAGAAGTCTAATAGGGTTGATATTCTCTGTGCAATGGAAGGAATTGCTTCTACCATTGAGCCAAACACTTTAGAATTTAGAATAAGCTTCACCTTCTGAAGAAGTCCCCTTTGGCTAAAAACCATCTAGGACTGCTACTGGGGCAGCGGGTGGAAAAAATCAAAAACATGGCACTTAAGAATGAAATTTTTGGGGAGGCCAAGGCAGGAGGTTCGCTTGAGTCCAGGAGTTCAAGACCACCCTGGGCAACATGGGGAAACCGCTTCTCTACATAAAAGACAAAAATTAGCCAGGCATGGTGGTGTGTACCTGCAGTTCCAGCTACTTGGCAGGCTGAGGAGGGAGGATTACTTGAGCCCAGGAGTGTGAGGTTATAGTGAGCTATGAATGTACTTGTCAGTGCACTCCCGCCTGGATGACAGAGTGAGATCTTGTCTCCAGAAAGAAAAAAAAAAAAAGGCCAGGAGTGGTGGCTCATGCTTATAAACCCAGCATTTTGGGTGGTCAAGGCAGGAAGATTACTCGAGGTCAAGACTTCAAGACCAGCCTAGGCAACACAGTGACACCTCATCTCTTCCATGCCCCACCCCCTCGACATAGTATTAGCTGAAGGTGCTGGTGCATGCCTGTAGTCCTACCAACTTGGCAGGCTGAGGTGGGAGGTTGGCTTGAGCCCAGGAGTTGGAGGCTGCAGTGAGTTACGATAGCACCACTGCACTGCAGCCTGAGTGACAGATAAAGACCCTGTCTCTAAAAAAGTGAAATAAATAAATAAGACAATCAAGTTTTTGCTTGGCACAAGTATGTATAAAGTCTGTGACATCTAATGTTTCAATTGTTTACTAAGAGTGAAACAAAGTGCCAACTGTGAAGGATAAAAACTAAGGTTGTGTTCAGCAGCACTGGCCCTGCCAGGGCTTGCAGGGACGGGCGGCTCAGGAAGCTCTGTACCTGCATACTGAGGACTGTCAGGTTGGTGAGCGCATCCAGGTTCTGAAGTTTAGTAATTTTGTTTTTCCCCAAAAACAAACTCTCCAGGTTGGTTAAGGTGTCAATATTTTCAATTGCCTGTGGAAAGGACAGAACAGCAATGAGTACTGCAGTTGACGGGGCTGCGCCAGGCAGCCAGCAGGTGACTGGACTGGGGCAGAGCTGTCAGGGCTTCAGTTCTGTGATGTGGGGCTAGCGATGTATCTGCTAAGACTTCTGGTGGAAATCCTACTTGAAAGCAGAATACAAGAGTGGCGAGTCCAAGACTGTCTTGAGCTCACTTCCAACCCTCAGATTTTCTGGGGTGCTGAGGAACAGTCTCAGAACCCAGGGACCAGCAGATTCCCAAGTCCCTTCCAGTTCTAAACTTGTGAGCTGACACATTAAAATGTCCTCCCGCCGGGCGTGGTGGCTCACACCTGTAATCCCAGCACTTTGGGAGGCTAAGGCAGGCAGATCACAAGGTCAGGAGACTGAGACCATCCTGGCTAACACAGTGAAATCCCGTCTCTACTAAAAATACAAAAAAATTAGCTGGACATGGCGGCAGGTGCCTGTAGTTCCAGCCACTCAGGAGGCTGAGGCAGGAGAATGGCGTGAACCTGAGAGGCGGAGCCTGCAGTGAGCCGAGATTGAGCCACTGCACTCCAGGTCGGGCAACAGCACGAGACTCCGTTTCAAAAAAAAAAAAAAAAAAAAGGCCTCCCAAGAGCCTCAGTCTCTACAGAAGTGAGGTATGGGACTCTGACCTTAAGTCTTTGAAATCCCGGGACCCTCACTTAGGATTCCTGGGGGGCCCTCACACCACAGCACTCTGCCCCTCTTGCCCAGTTTCCACACCCGCCTACAGCACTCTTCCTCGCTGTGATCACGTGCTCCTCTATTCAACCATAAACCTCCAGAGGCAGTGACCACGCTGCCCTGTCTCATCTCCCCATGGTGACTTGCCTACAACAGGATGTTTAATGACTGTTTATTGATTGGACTTCAGTTTCCCTCCTCTGTCAGTTCACTCTCTCTCAGAACAAGTCATTCTTTAAATATTTCAGCAGACACAAAAGAACCAGATGAGGTGCTTGCTAACCAGGTGGGGACTCCAGGCTGGAAGATGGTGTGCTAATCCACACACCACTGCAGGACTTGGTGGGGCGGGGGCATCCTCACCGGCTGTAGTCTGCATTAATTTGTGATGAGCCACTGTTCCCCTAGAAAGTTCCACAGTCAGACACTTGGTAAAGTGCGGACATCTGGGCTGCTCTCTAGTTTTAAATGTGCTGCTTTGCTATTTGTGGCCATGAGATCTCTAACAATAACTGTCAAGAGACTCTTGCCAAAACCAGCCTCCCTTGGTTTGTATCCTGTCCAAGCTCTCAAGGGCCCAGGACAGACATCGCATGCTGTAATACTTTCAGAAGCCAAACAGAGGGACATTTTGAACATGGGGCAGGGTCGGATGTGCTCAGAAACACCTGCCAAAGCCACTAAGCAAGGCTGGGGGAAGCACAGGCTCTGTGCCATGACCCTGATTAGGAGCCAGGCACGGGGCTTGAATGCTCTTCTGGCTGACAGAAGTCCTCCTGCCTGCCCACGGGAACCCTCCCCTCTCTCTGCCTGGCAGATCCACCTTCAATGTCAGTCCTCCCGGGACGCCCTCCCGCATTCCCCTCAGCACATGACGGTGGTTATGAGTCAGCTGGTGAAGACTTGATCCTGCTTCTGTGGAACACCAGATCACTTTTCCAAAGTCTTTTATTTCCATTCTGTCCCACGTTTTCAAGGTCAAATGGCTCCTGAGAACAGATCTAATCCTGCTGGGGACTGTGTCCCAGGAGTATTAAGCCATCCAGGGAGGAAGGCCCAACTCAGCACTGCCTTTGGGAGTGTGTCAGCAGCAAGAGGCTTTCTAAAGCCCCTGGTATGTACATCACTTTGAGTGACCACTTTGCTGGGCTTGGGAAACTTTCATCTCAAAGCAGCATACCAGAGAAGATCACCACGAGTAAGTCCAAGAGTAAGGCGTTCAGGTCGGCTGGTTCATCTCAGGCAGAATGTAACTGGGAATGGTGTGATTTAGGGTCATGATTTGGATGAAGAGCAACTGAAATATATGTGCAGAAGAAAGGCTAGACCACTCAGGACTTACTGATACTGACTTCCAGTATCAGTAAAAAAAAATTTCCTTGTTCATGAAAAAAATCACAGCATCCTAAGAAATGCATACTCACTATGCATTCTACATACACCCACTGAGTCCACACACAACCTGCCAGCTGCCTCTCCCTGAATATACTAGTCAGGGCTGTTTGCACCTACCCGGATGCGGTTAGATCCCAGCTCTAGCATCTGTAGTTGATGTAAGTTGCTTAAGTTCTCAATTTTACTGATTTTATTGTTGACCAAGAAGAGTTTTTTCAGTCGTGTCAACTTGTCAACCCCTTCGATGTTTCTCAGCAGATTAAAAGAAATATCTAGAATCCTGAGAACAACCGAAACAGGTTTTTAAAAAAATTACATGAGCATAGGTTGCAGAGAACTCACAATTCAACCACCCTAAAGGTAGCACCCCATTAGGGGACTGCAGTCACTGTGAGGCGGGGCAGGGTGGGGTGGGGTGGGGCAGGGGGTGCGGTCTGTGCCCCTGCTGCCGCCTGGCTCACACTGATGCTGTCATGAGGGATTTGGAGGCTACCCAGGAGCCCGGAGCAAGCCAGAGGCAGCCTACAGGCTCCTGATGCCCTGGCTCCCAGGATGGTATTTGAGGCAGAAACTGTTTCATTCACACCCGTGCCCATGACAGGACCTTGCACCAGGCTCTGCACACAGAAGGGGCCTGAGAAGTACCGAATTAGAAACAAAACAAGCAAAAATGAATGAGCAACAAAGGGCAGAAATCCAGGTAAAGTTATAACTAGGACCTGGCTCCTTCTTTTTTAATTTTAATTTTTGTAGACAGGGTCTTGTTATGTTGCCCAGGCTATCTCGAACTTCTGGGCTAGTGATCCTCCTAATTTGATCTCCCAAAGCGCTGACATTACAGGTATGCACCACTGCACCTGATGTAGAACCTGACTCCTTAAATTATAAATGTCATTTTTTTTTTAAATTAAAAAAAAGAGTATTCAAAAGGCAAGAGGAAATTCTGGATTAACTTTCCCCTCGACCAATCTCAGTATCATCCCTGAATGGAGGCTTTTCCAGAAGTCCCCACTGCAGCCTTCCCATCAAAGGTTTACTTTGCAAGTCAGAATTGTCCAGGAAGCCGAAGACATGCATGAAGCCAACATGGCCTCCTGGAGCCCTGAACATAGCAGGCAGAGACTTGGGATTCAGACGCAGGAAGGACCCTGTGGCAGAGGCAGCCTCTCAAGGGCCAAGAGCCAGCAGGAGGTGGGCTCTGGAGAGACTGGACACCCCCACCCAGTGGCCTCCCCACCATGCTGTTCTCCTGTGGGTCTCATGACTCACTCCAGCTCTGTTAGCGCCTCCAGATTCTCAATCTTCTTGATCTGGTTGTCGTAAAGATCCAGCTCTCGAAGACTCTGTAGCTCCTCCAGATTCTCAATGCATTTAATTAAATTTTGGCGGAGGCAGAGAGTCTGGGGGATGGGAAAAGGACAATTGACACAGGCACGGGGGAGGCCACGAGAAGGCCTCAGCTGGTACTGGAGGACACAGGACAGGCCCTTCTGGTGGAAGGACGTGTCTTCATTCTCCTGCTGTTTCCTAGAAAGGTGCTGACCTTTGAGAGGTAGGTGGGCAAGGGCACTAAGCTAGAATTCCTCGACACACCTGAGGATGGGCAGGAACCCAAAAGGAAGCAGGAGGCAGGCCCCCCACCAAGCAGGCCTAGTTGAGGAGGGAGGCGATGGCCTGGGGTATGGGTGTTTGCCACTTCCTGGCAGAACATAAGAACCTATGGTGGGCTCAATTTTGAGAAACAAATTCAAATGAGATGCACGGAGGACCATAAAATTCACTGAGTGCCTAATTGAACACAGCCACAGAACTGAGGCAGGCCAGAGTCACAGGTCACTGGCCGCCTGAGCTCAGGAGAGCCAGCCCCAGGGCTGTGCCTCAAGTCCCTCGACTGCTGTCTCACACTTGCTGTGCTCCCAGTAAAGGCCAGCTACAAGGTGGAGGCAGCCACGCCTCCCACAGGCTGGGACAAAGACCACAACTTGGGACTGATGGCTCGATTCTGGACTTATCCACATCCTATAGGTGATATGGGTCATAGTCCCCTCATAAGAGTCCCTCTCACCTTCACTTTCTTCAGTACCTCAAATCCTTCAATCTTCCCAATGCGACAGTGATTCAAATCAACATCCTGAAACAAAGCGGAAATGTATACTCGGCTATAGCAAAGTGGCTGGAGACCTGTGTCCTAGAAGAGGAGCCATCAGAGGAGGCCTGGGAGTGGGCAGCAGTGGGGGAGGCAGTGCCAGGTGGGTCTACAGCAGACAGGTGTCGGTGACAAGGTGTGCTGCAGGGGCTCTTTGGTTTAGTGATGACTTAGTTTTATGTAAAACTGGCCCTTAAAATGATTGGTACATGACATCTTTTTCTCATTCCCTAGATCCTGTACGCACAAAACATAAGCTCAGGCTCTGAGGATATGCACCCCATCCCATCACCATCAGAGACACGCTGGGGGCTCAGGAGGCCCAGCGGCCAGGCCAGTCATACACAGCCTGCGGCTGTTGGGACCCTCATGTATAATGTAATCATCAGACCCAGAGAATGTATGAGTCAAAGGCATCTCATCTGCCACATAATCCTCAAGGGTCAAATAGACATGGGGATAACAATCACTGGTAAGAAAAACAACATGAACACAGGACTCTGATCCAACCAAGGGAGGCTTAGGCAACCTCTTTAGGGAAGTAACTTACTAATCTCATACAAGATAACCTGACAGGTGGTCCATCACCATGCTCAAGGCTGGGCTGAGCAGGCGGCATTACCTCTGCATCTCTGTCCAGGTTGATGGTTTCCATGTCCACAGGCAGCTCATGTTCTTCTGAAAAAAATTAGAAAAAGAGGTTTGTTCAGAACCCCATTAACAGGAGGCATTGGTGAAGAGCTGCATCTGGCCAAGGTCTGGGGCTGTTTGGTGCCCAGATCCAGCTCAAACCCTGAGGAGGAACCAATGGGAAAGTTTGCTGAGGACCTGGAGAATGTGGCAAGGGTGAACCCTGCTCCAACAATAGTGATGTTTTAAGCATTCTGAATTCCCTGAATTCAGATATTGGCAAAGGTCTCCAAACATCCATCTGTGCCTTTGAACTTCCTGAGAAGGGAAATGTGTTTTGAAGCTGTTAGTGGGAAGGAGGGGAGGAAGTAGCTGAGTGCAGGTGAGCAGGGCAGCACTACTGCCTTTCCGTGACTCCCAGAGCCGCAGAACTGGCAGCAGCCTGCCTCCTACATAGCTTTTCTCTGTTTGTTTGTGGCAATAAACCAGGCCATTAGAATCTAGATCGTGCTGGGCACATCAGATGCTCTAGGATGGGCCTTCTATCGCTTTGGAAGGTGGCCCAGCATCTACAAACACTTCCCTCTGCAAAGAGCAAAACAAAACAAAACATAGTTCAACAGATAGGATCAAAGAGGCTCACTGAATAATTTAAACACACTTCTCAATGGGGAGACTGATGAACTCACTCCAGCAGAGAAGCCCATTGGATTTCACGAGGACTCTCCACACCGGAGCCGGCCTCCTCTGTGCGGAGGCAGAGAGAGCTGCTCTCCCTGCTGAGGCGACAGACTCCCTGTTAAGCACTTCCTCGTTTCATTTCATTGGAACCTACTTCAGCATATGTGCTGAAAAGGACTAAGACACACACAGATGCACACACACATGCATGCACAAAGACACAAAGGCACATATGCACACTACACAGACACACGCATGCACATCAGTGGTATACAGACTCATGCAGACACACAAACACGCACACTCACCCCTTATAACACTTAAAAAAATTAACAGTAATTCCTCAGTATCACCAAAGATTGTCTGTGTTCGCATTTCCTCAACTGTCTTAACATTTCTTCCCTTAGTTCACTTGCATTATGATCCAAATAAGGCTGTATATTGTGACTAGATGGTATTTCTTTCTTAAAAAATTTTTTTAATTTAAGAGACAGGATCTCTGCTGCTCAGGCTGGAGTACAGTGGTGTGATCATAGCTCACTGCAGCCTTGAACTTGTGGGCTCAAGTGATCCTTGTCTTGGGCTCCCAGGAACCTGCGACTACAGGTGTGAGCCACCATGCCCGGCAAATTTTTTAAAACCATGTTTTGTACAGTCAGGGTCTCGCTATGTTGCCCAGGCTGGTCTGGAACGCCGAGCCTCAAGTGAACCTCCCACCTTGGCCTCCCAAAGTGCTAGGATTATAGGCACGAGACACTGCACCCAGCCCAGCATTTTTCTTAAACTTTTTCCCCTTGTAGTTTTCTGTTGTAGGAAAACAAGCTTGTCTTGTAGAGCTTCTCTCAGTCTGGATTCTGTGAATTATACCCATAGGATGCTCTTTCTCCTGTAAATGGATTGTCACTGTCACTACCTTACAGGGCTGTCAGTGCTCTCACTGTGGCTCTTCCTAGAGCAAACGTGCACTTGCTTCTGCAGCGGAGTGAGCTCACACAGCCCTGGACCACAGGCTAAGGGCTGGCTCCTCACCTCACCTGGAGGCCTCTGAGAGGAGCACTTGACATCAGACCAGCTTAACAAAGTAATGATCCAACATGGCTGCATTCACTTCAGTTTTTCCACTATGCCTTTTCTATAACCATCAACTGTGGTTAGTTAAAAAAAAAGTTTACTATAGTTTATCCACAACTGTACAGGATACCAACCAACCTAAGAATTAAATAAAAGGAACTGGGCAAAACCAAGAGATAGATACAAATCACCCCAAAAGACAGTGTCAAGTTCATAAGCTCAGGAAGTTGCACTGAAAGAGGCACTACAATTAAGGCAGGGTGCCCAGGTCCTGTGGTCCAAACCAGGACCCTTTGAGAGCAGAAGGGCGCAGCTATGCCGGGCCGGCAGGCAGAAACGGGCTGTGCCAGGCTCCTCAGGACTCATGGTCACACGGCTTTAAGGGGTCCTGTTTGTAATACATCCAGCATGGCTGGCCGCTCACCACTCAAAATGTCAGCTAACCTCTGAAACAAGGTTTCCAGCCTAGAATGCCCTTCTGAGTGTATTATATATTCATCATATTTTAAAAATAATTTAGCGAAAATAGGTAGAAGGTAACAGGTGACATAATTAAATTTGTTTTAATTGAATTTAAGACTTAAACACACACAGGTAGGAGCAAGTCTTGGCTTCTCTAAGGGCTAGAAATGTATACCCAGAAAACTCATAATCAGCTAATCATCTCAAAGAAAAAAACTTGGATTTTTCCAGGCCAGGCCAGCTGGTCTGCCTTGTAGCCGTGTGCCCTTGGACAAGCTGCAGAGAGTCTCATTCTCCTCATCTGTAACACATTACCACACCTGGGTACTTACAGAACATGAGGACATCATCATTAGCCTGTGCTAGTGACCCAGGGAAAGAAAGCACACAGGGCTTGCTCTGCCAACTCTCAAGTCTTCCACAAACACCCGATGTCTCAGCAGCACCCATCTGAGGATAGCGGGGGCTCCTACCGCTCCACTGTTGGTGACTAAGTCAGGCGATAACGGAAGCTTCCATCTATCTCTCCCATGCACTTTATTCCACCCACATCACTTCCAGAATATCAGCTCCGAAGTTCCAAAGTAAATGTAACTGGTACTTTTGTGGTAATCTCCTTTTGCCTTAAAAGTAGGTTGCCATAGTTACCAAACATCTTTGCTGGCACAGAGAGCAAAATGTTATTTTAAAAATTAGGTTTGTTTCTTTATAAATTTATTTTATTTTTATAAGGGATGCATGATTATTCATACATTGTATACAAATCTAGAAAATGCAAAATGTATAGATCCTTCTTAAACCTGCTGTTTGGACAGACTCAGCCCGTTTGATGTGTTTTCTTTCTTTAGCAGGTAAAAGTACACACGTGCACGCATACTGTTCAGAAACTTGCTTTTTTTTTTTGAGACGGAATCTCATTCTGTCGCCTTGGCTGGAGTGCAGTAGTGTGATCTCAGCTCACTGCAACCTCTGCCTCCCGGGTTCAAGCAATTCTCCTGTCTCAGCCTCCCAAGTAGCTGGGACTACAGGTGCACGCCACCATGCCTGGCTAATTTTTCTTTTTTTTTTTTTTGGTATTTTTAGTAGAGACAGGGTTTCACCATACTGGCCAGGCTGGTCTTGAACTCCTGACCTCAAGTGATCCAACCGCCTTGGCCTCCCAAAGTGCTAGGATTACAGGCGGGAGCCACTATGCCCAGCCACATCTAGGCACTTTAGAAGTCAATCCTTAGGCCTATAAAAATGGTAAGGCAAGACTCAGAAATAATTTCTCTGAAGAGATTAAAGGTTTCTATTGCTATGGTAGGACACGGAAACATAGCAGTCAGCCATAACGTTTATTTCAAATCTGGCTTCCTAAACATACGGTTAATAAAACAATGTTGTGGTTCTTTTTTTTTTTTTTGAGACGAAGTCTCCCTCTGTCACCCAGGCCAGAGTGCAGTGGTACGTTCTCGGCTCACTGCAACCTCCGCCTCCTGGGTTCAAGCAATTCTCCTGCCTCAATCACCTGAGTAGCTGGGATTACAGGCACACGCCGCCACGCCTGGCTAAGTTTTGTATTTTTTGTAGAGACGGGTTTTCACCATGTTGGCCAGGATGGGCTCGATCTCCTGACCTCTTGATCTGCCCACCTCGGCCTCCCAAGGTGCTGGGATTACAGGCATGAGCCACCACATCCGGCCAACAATGTTGTGGTTCTGTCCCAGATGGCATACTAGTACCCATATCCGTGCTAGGATTTGCCTTCAGTGGAATTGGAAAAAAACCACATCCTTTTTGCAAATGCTGTCAATGAGTCAGCCTGCTGAGGGAGCGCCTCAGAGAGCACATCCACCTGCCCTGGCCCACTGAGGGCCCCTAAGGAGCGCGGCAGTCCTTCCCCAGACCACACATCACCCACACCCAGGGACAGACCATATGCAGTACAGCCCACATCCCCCAAAAAGCAGATGTCCCCCAAGGGAGCTGGGCCTGGTACCTTCTGGGTCCTCCTCCCCCCGCTCCTCCCCATCCTTCAGGCTCTGTTCACTGAGGTCTGCCACGATGCCACTGCTGTGTTTCTTCCCTTCTTCATCGCCAGATTCTTCGGACTCGACCCGCCTGTCAACTGAACCCACACAAGTCAATGAGAATTCACATCCAATTTATGGGACTTTAAGGAACATATAATAAACACTCAGTTGTAAGTCAAAAGGACTTCATTTAAACATGTTTGTTGAATCCAGTTCAATAACCATTTGAGTGTCTCCCATGTCCCAGCACCACTTGAGGCATATGGCAGCAGGGAGAATGGGGAGCAGAGTGTGGAGCCCACATGGATACTTAGGTGAGGAACACACTACTTCTGCCCTCAAGGAGCTTGTGAAGAATTGCCCAGTGTTCTGAAAGCCTTGGATCATTTGTGATTAAATCCACTAATGGAACCAGGTAGTGAAGCACCTCCTGAGTGCCTTTCACTTTCGGGCTGGGTGACCACCACTGTGACTCTTCTGCCACATACCTCCATCCACGCTCTACTATTGATCTGGCTAAGAAAACCAGCCAAGTTCACAGGCCCACGTTCTGAAAGAAATCAACACTAACTCAAATCAGGTTGTGGGCAGGAAGGATCACTAAGGAAAAGGAGAATACAGCCAGTAGTGCTGACCGCCCACAGAAAGCTCATTGGTGTGAAATGAGCTTTCACACTGGACACTGGACAGAATGTTAGCAACTCAAGGCTTTTAAAGGTTCATAAATATTTTTCGAATTAAAGAATAAGGCAATTCAATGTGTCAGGCAAAAATGCTTTGGTAAGGTTGTCAAATCGTTTTTCTTTTTTATAACTTTATTCATGACCTCTTCTGGAAGTCTGTCTGGAAAACATGAGGCACTAACACATTACTTGGAATTATCAACCATACTGAAAATAGTCTCTTTCCTGACTATGGTTTATCTACAAAGAGATGTGCTCTTTGAGGGAAAAAGTTCCATTTCAGCTTTGTATTTCCTGCTTAGCCTCGCAAAGTAAAACCCAAGAAAGGATTGCTGTATAAAACAAGTCCTCATAAAACCCAGCTCCAAACCCTCCAAATCCACCTCTTCTTCCCTACCCCCGCAATGACGGTAGCTCAGTTACTTGTTAGCTGTGGCCTGTGCTCCTGCCCTGCCTCCTAACTCGTCTCTCTGCGACTTGCCTTGCCTTGTTTAACCTATTCTCCACTGCCAGAGAGTCTGATCTAATTCTAAAATCCAAATCCGATCTTTGAGTCCAAAAGTATTTCTGGAATGCTCTTCCTGAGTTTGCAGCTTGCTGCTAGAGATGCAGGTTTGGCAAATCATTTCCATTTGAAAGCCTCAATCTCCTAGTCTGTGGAAGGGAGCTAGTATAGAACCTATGCCTCAGCGAGTTGCTGTCAGGGTTAAATTAGAAAAGGCACAAGAGCAGTTAGTACACGCATGACATGCAGTAGATATTTAACAAATTAGTCACCACCAGGCACAGGTCACTTGGTGGCCCAGGCTCAGGGAGAGAAAGTTCTTATTGCATGACAACCTGGTGCAAAAACCCCAGGAAGAGGAGTGCTGTGAGGTTAGGAGACGCTCAGCTAATGAAGTTTGGCCAAAGCGAAGCCTGAGGGCAGCAGAGGGGCTGGAACATGCGACAGTGGATCAGAATGTAAGAAAATGACTTTGGTGTGCTGGGGACGATGGGCTGGGGAGCAGGGACAATCAATCTAGCCTAGAGATGACGAAGGTCTGAGTTAAGGTACTGGCAATGGGAATGGAGGACGCATCGAAGATTTGGAGATTATTTTTAAAAGTAAAAGTCAGAGCTCCTTGACTAATAGGACACGGGTGGGAGTGGGACAGAGAGAAAAGCCGGGCTTTTATATTTGTCATTTACCAAGACATGGAAACAGTTGAAGAGGGAGTGGGAGGATATGAAGAGGCACTTCTTACTTAAAAAGACTCCAAGGGTATGAAGTCCAAGACCCTTAACACCACCGCCCCCATCCCCACTACATATGATTTGGTCAAACTCTCCTCCACACCCCTTGACCGAAGCTTTCTTCATCTTGAGTGATTCTTGCTCTTTTCCCTCACCTTATCCCCAACCTCGTTGCCTTCGAGTTATTCTTCAGGCTCCAGCTCAGAGCTGGCCCTGCTTGTGCAGCTCTCACCACTGCCGAACATGTCAGCCCTTTCTTCTGCACCCGCCCTCCTTCCCCAGCTCCACAGTCCTCCTCCCTACCACTTTCACATGAGGCAGTGACTGCTCTTCTGGGAGGGCTGTACCCCTCACCAAACCATGGGAGCCAAAAGCACTTAAGCACTTGATGACACAACTGATTCCCCAGTTGGTGGGTGTGTGCACGCATGTTTATACACATACTGCACATGTACGTATGACCGTACCTACAGATATGTAGAGAATTATATATAAATACATGTGTACGTATAACATATACATATATGCATTTTTTTTATTTGTTTGGTTTTTAACAAAATGAATGAGGAGGAAGAAAGTTGAATTTAGACTTTTTGGAACTATGACAGCTTTGAAAACAGGTATCACCTTGTGTAACTAAATCTTCTGGTTCCTTGCTACCCCTTCGACAACAGTCCTTTCGATTTCAGGAGAAGACCCTTCTCCACCCTCACCACGCGAACCAAGGAGCAGACTCTGGTAGATCCCAGCGCCCAGAGCCTCAGTTTCCTCGTCAGCTGACCGAGGAGGCTCCCCCGCCTGTCAATCTCAGAGGCTCGGGGCGAGGCTCCAACTGGACTGAATGAAGCCACCGCGTCCCATTCAGCCCCACCCCCGGCCTGGCCTCGCGCCGCCGCTCTACCCCTAGCTCTGGGTCCTTCCCGGCCGCTGCCGCCCCCAGGCCGGGGCTCCCCCGAGGTCCAGAGCCTCCCCCGCTCCCCCGGGTCCGGCTGTCAGCTGTCAGGGGGCCGCGCGGCGGCGGCCGGAGGCGGGACGTGGGGTTTCTCTCAGGCACGGAGCAGTTCCGGCCCGCAGCTCCCCCCTCCCGCCCGGCCCTTGGGCCGCCGCCCGCAGGGGCCGCTCACCCTCCATCATCTCCTGCGACTGTTGCTGCCCCGCGCCGCGTTCCGCCGCCATGTTGGCTGCTCTTCCCCTTTCCGGAATCTGTCGCCTCAGACCCATCAACCAATCAGGGCTCCCGCCTCAGAGTCGGCCCAGCCAATAGGATTCCGGCGCGGCGAGTTCAGCCGCGGCGCGCTTGCGTGTGCCCAGCGCCTCATGGGAGTTGTAGTTCCGTCATGAGGCTGCGCGCCGCGCGCCGCGCCTCCCCCGGGGCAGGTAATTTCAGGCAGCGGCGCCGGAACAGTCTGGAGGCGAGAAGCTGAGAAGGAAAGCAGAGGGAGTCGAAGCGGGACGCACCGGCCGTAGCTGCAGGCAGACGGAGTGGACGTCTAAGCAGAGTGGAGAGACGCCCTGGGCTCGAGAGTTGACTTATGTCACTGTCTCGACCTCGGAGGCGTGGAGGGGCCGCGGGCCAGGCGGATCTTTCCGTGGCTGCAAGGTGCGGGCCAGTCCTACGTGCATCCCTGAGCTTTGCGAGCCTCGCTGGCTGCGTCTGTACAATGGGCCGAACGGCAAGAGCAACAACATTCTCCCGGCGTCCAGGCGCGGATTTTACCCATGCGAAATGCCGCCTTCTCTAGATGCTCAGAGCAGGCGGGCAGGTGCGGGGCACTTGCGATGGTGGGGCCGCCAGCCAGCTGGCCGGCTCCG